GAACGGCTGACCTGGTCAATCCAATCTCTACTGTATAACGAGCTAGAAACATCAGCGTTCAGATGCAAAACATGACAGTTCCATTCAACTATAATAAAAGCATCTGGATCTTCAGACCATGTGCAACAGAGGAGCTCAAACCTTTTGGTTCACAATTAAAATTCGTCAGCACACTTGCTAAAAGCCAAAAAGATAGATGGAAATGTCCTTTGTGTCACAGACGGCTGGCTCTCCAGCAGGCGAAGGGTAAGGCGGTCTGCGGTCACTCCTGCTTGACGTCTCCGGTCAGCCGTCTCTTCACACGCGAGTACGGGCTCAGTTCATCGTCCATGATAAAGTCATAGAGGACCTTCACCCACGACGTGTAGCACGGCAGGCCTGTGTAGTACTCCGCTGCGATCTCCTTCACCTGGAGGAAGGAACGGAGAGTCCAGATATCTCAAAACCGGCCAAAGAAAGGCTTCTGTCAGTGCATGACGATCTGATGAAGCACGGATAGTAGCCGATGCTCTGATATGAGAGATGAGCTGCATTGTTTGCATGTCTTTCGTCAGTCTGAGCTCACTAGACTAGTGAAGTTAGACTACTGACTAGTAGTTTTGTGGCATTTTACTCTAACAGTATCCACTGATTGCTACCATCACACTGTTCATTTGGGTAATATTTATATTGAGCGGACATATTCTCTTAAAAAGGATAACAAGCTGTCTACTTGCTTACTCAGGCCTATATGTTTGTAAGTGAACCACATACTTTAATAACATGGTTTTTTTCAGTGCTACATTGTTTGAGTGAAGTTTATAAACCATGACTGATTGAAATAAACATGAATTGAATTGAACTATAGTGATGGACTGAACAACTGGTCTTACCATGGGCAGTCGGCGTCCTGGGATGCTAGGGAAGTCATGGTGCTCGTTGTGGTACCCGACGTTGAAAGTCAGCAGGTTCAGGGATCCGTAATAAGAGTAGGTCTCATGGCCTTTGAGGAACATGTAATGTTCTGCAATGAAGTGTCCCGAGATGGGATGGAGACCCATTCCTAACATGGAG